TAATAATAAACTTTTAAATGTACTGAAAAAGAAAAAACAAACTTGCTATTAAATGAAAGCTATGGTCGCTCATGAGATCCCCTGCGTCTTTACCAACCAATGAGTTTTATTAAAGACAGCAAGTTTGTTTTATTTTATTTTTTCAGTGCATTTAAAAGCATATAATAAAATGGTTTTTACATTTGTTATTAGATTATTACATTAAAATTACGCTAAAAGTGGAAATTTCTATTTTGAAAGCTCAACTAACAATTTTAGATTTGATGGTAAGAGTTTCTGGAGAAGCCGTCTAAATATAAATAAAGGCCCGAGTTCTCTTTGGTTAACAGCGGGTATAGAACAGAAGCCATTGCTCATGCACATGTAATACAGGGTGAGCTAGCCTGACCATGACTGGGTTGTGGCTGCTGGACATAAGCTGATCCCTTTAGTTTATGCAATGATAAGAATTCAGCCCATCGCTTTGGTAATTAGAGAAGCTGTTGGATACTCCGGCCCAATGTACATATCATTCAGATCTGATACGCATTCCTCATCCACAGCAATAAGTCATAGGCTAGATTTTTAAAAAAAACTACTTGCTTTACATTAATTTGACGACATCACAAAGAGTGGTGTGGATCGATAGACAAATCAATACTAAAAGGGCATTAAAGTTGCGGTATAACACTTTCTCAATCATAGCTGCTATGTTGGTTTGTACATTGCTGCCAAAGCACCAGGAAATAAAGCATTTTACTGTGTTGGAAGTGAAAATGGCTTTATTTAGCAATATGCATGCTGAATTACCCAAGGACCACTACGACAATCGTTTGGATCAAAGAGGAGTAAAAACAAATAGACAGATTTAGATGGGAATTTTTTTTTAATTTTGGTCGGATAGGTACAACCTGTTAATGATATTAACATATAATAGTTGCTTCAAAATTTACACTATTTTATGTTGATAAAACGTTGCCTTTGATATATTTAAAAAAATTATGTTGTTAATAAATATTCTATAAATAGAATGAACTTAAAACTTAACTTCCGGGGGGGGGGGGGGGGGGGGAGCGTGACATCATTTATGGACGACCCCTCATTGCAGTTTTTAGAAGCATTATAATACTGGGTTCCCATAAACTTCTTCTACATCATGTTGTTAAATGGGACACTCCTCTCTTATTAATAGGTGTATATTAATATGTACGTAGGGCCTATATCGTGTTATTCAAATATTTCCAAACAATATAAGCCTTTGGCGTAGCCATGATCGTCTCAAGGGGGGGGGGGGGGTTCCAATTTTTACCCGGGGACAAGCTTTCGATTTGCACCCCCCCCCCCCTTCTCAGACTTTTGATTTGCACCCCCCCCCCCCACCTCAAACTTTCGATTTGCACCCCCCTCATACTTTATATATATATACCGAGGTGTCTATGTGGGGGGGGGGTTATGACCGTAGGAGTAGTAGATATAATCTAACTATTTTTAATCGAAACACAGAGGCGAATTGCAGGTGATATGGATTTTGTAAAAAACTGGGCAGAATACAAACAAGGATTTGGCTCATTAAGTGGGGACTTTTGGATTGGACTTGATTTTATACACAGGCTAACATGGGTGGGTATAACAAATTTCTAGTTATATGGTGTAACCTTATTATTCTTTTACCGTTTGATTTTTACCGTTGTTTATTACTTTCTCGTATAAACGAAGTATACAGAAAGTCTTGTAATCGTGCAAAAAAAAAAAATCGAGATTTTTGCAAATCTCGACGTTTTAGGGCTCCCTGATTCGGAAAAACATAGTTTTGCAATCTTGTCCGTATGTCAGTGTGTGTGTATGTGTGTCTGTGTGTCTGTGTGTGTATAAACACAATAACTTGAGTATCGTTACAGCTAGGTTGATGAAATTTCATATATAAGTATTATATCAAAATCGTAGATCCGTATCAACTTTTTAGCGATTTCCGATACCCGGAAGTGGAACTTTTTCTACTTTGAATTTTTTGAACGCCTATAACTTGAGTACTATTTGAGATAGATATAAATGAAATTTCAAATGTAAGTAAAAGTTCTAATTCTCTGCCTTCTATCAAATTTTGAGTAATTTCCGTCCACCGGAAGTAGTAATTTACGTTATTTCCGATTTCTCAAAAAAAAAAAACGCATGTGAATTAACAAAGTACTAATAATATCCCGCACTATTATGCACATTTTATTTGGCGTTCAATTGGTGTGCAATTACTTTTTTTGCGAGATTCTATTCTATTATAAAAATTTAAGTAATTAAAAATGGATTAAAAATATAGTATATGTCCCGAGGGGAACAGGGCATTTCCCCCTGTCCATTACCCCCCCCCCCCCGGACATTTCCCCCCGACATTACCCCCCGGAGTAATTACCCCCTGTCAATTACCCCCCCCCCCCCCCCCCCAGTAGGACATTACCCCGCACCCCCGGACAGGGTTAGAGTTAGGGTTAGGGTTGTGTCTAGTGTTGGTTTTGGTTTTGTGTGAAGTATTAGGTTAAGATGGATGCTAAGGTTTTGGTCTTTTTCTTAAGGTTTGGATTAAAGTAGTATATAGGTATAGAATTCTAGTTAGAGTTAGGATTCTAACATGAGAGGGGGGGGGGTTAATGTCCTGTGGCCATCCCGAGTTGCCATCCCCCGTAGTGTTATATTAGAATATTCGAGAAAGTTTAGGGGAGATAACTCCCGGTTTTTTTTGTGTAGAAAAAAATATATCAATTTATTCTACTGTAATAAGAACCTGCTAATACCTTCACTGGGACGGCGTGGACTAAGCGGTAGAGCGTTAGGCTGCTAATGTCTCGAGTTCGAATCCCGGTCCAAGTAAATAGAACTGAGTCCATCCCGATCTGATGGGTACCTAACTCATGTTAGGGAACGGAAAGGCGCCTGTGCTGACCACACCTCCCCTTTTGTATGCCGAGGTCAGAAAACATATAAACTCTACTTCATCTGACCAATGGATCGCTATGTCTAAAGTGTCTTTTTTTTTTTACTTTTAAATAATACTTTTACTACTACAGTTGAAACGTACTAGGTAGAGAATTTCAGTTCTATAAAACTCAAATCAAATAACCGTGGGCTTAAGTAAGTTTACGACGTGGCCTGGGTTGTGGCGATTACATGTGACGATGTGTGACGTAATGTTCGGCAAGCCAACAATGACATTATTTAAGCAACACCAATACTAGGATTGTTATATGAATCACTTTAGTTATTTGCAACATTCAGTTAACCCGTCGTTTTTACTTGACACTAGGTTTAGTGCTACTCTTTATTTTTTTTAAAGTTTTAAAAAAGCTTTTAAAAGCCAGTATAGATTAAATTTATTTATTTCACTATTGCCGATGAGTACTGTATTTGAAACTATAACACAAACAAATCAAATAACTACAAAAAATATATACATTGCAGCAAATAAATCATGAACTGAGAATTGATTTAAAGTTTCAAAGAAGATCCTACTACGCAAAGTATAGCTCTTTCTATATCGACAGCGAAGCCAACTTTTACACCCTTCATGTGAGTGGCTATTCTGGAGACGCTGGTGATGGTATGGATTACCATAATAATCTAAGATTCAGAACCATTGATAGACCAACAAGTAATCACTGCTCAAGATCATACAAAGCAGGCTGGTGGTTTGACAGTTGCTACCACGCCTTCTTGAATGGTTTATGGGTTGAGAACAAAACATATGACGGGATACGATGGGATCCGATTAGTTTAGAAAACACTCTTCAATCAGCAGAAATGAAAATTCGCAGAAAATAGCCAGTGTGGCCGTTGGTGCCAATTTTTACCCAGTACCACTATTTGAATTGTTTTGGTCAGCAGCCATTTCGTTTTAGTCTTAACTCACAAGAATTTCTATTCTTTTATGGAGGGGGGAAATGTTAAGTATCTTATAAAATAATATTTGAATTTATTCTGATATTTCTTAAAATTTTATATGGAGACTGTTCCTGTATTTAAAAATATGTTACCACACCCATTTTAAGTTAAACTTAAATTAAAACATATTGTTGAAAAAAAAGTTTTAAAAGTTGAAACTAAACACAAATTCATACAGATATTTAGAATTTAGAATATGATGATGATAAAGATAGCTTGAAAATTGGTAATTTAATTAAACAAATTTAGGTAGATGTGCTGAATTGCTTCTAAGTATCAATGTTTTTTGTAATATAACTCTAAAATAAAGAAAAAATGATGGTAAACAACATTGTTTGATTATTCGTTTAATATATGTATTTGTTGTTGGGTGATTACACTACATTTCGCCATGGTAAAATATATTACAAATATGTGTAAGCTGTGATAGACTGCACCAGAAACAAAATTAAAAAAAGCCTATAAAATATTTGAAATGAAGCTCTTCTTAGACCCAAGTAAACATTTTGGAACACTGGTAGATACAGAAAAAGATACAGATACACCTGTAAAATTATTGAAATGAAGCTCTCTAAAGCTTTGATATACATAAAAGTAATCACCACATGCCGTAATTTTACTTGCATCGCATTGTCTTTTTATAAATATACGAGTGGGGCTCTTTATGTAACGACTTAAATTCTATGATATTCGGCATAGTTTTTACTCTTCTCCATAAGTCAACAAAAGAACGAGAAGAAAATATTAAGTACATGCACATTGCTTAAACATATTAACGGATTAATGTCAAGTAATATTTTCGCTTAGATTGCTAGAAAAAATGGATTCATTTTAATAACAGTGGTGTGAAATAAAACTAATAATAATTTAGGTGTTTAATAATTATGCCATGGCAGGTACTTTAAAAAGAAATTAAATTCACGCTAAATATTGCTATTAAAGTACTAAAGTAAAAAAAAATTATTCCTACAGGATGGTTTTTTAAATGTTAAGGCTCATAGTTAAAATAGATCAATATGAAGATTATTTATATTATTTTCTAATTAGTCGTCACAGTGTTTTATAGATGTTTTTTTTTATTTCTATCTATTTATCTATCTACCTATATACTACTAAATCTCAATTTTCCTTGAAAGATTGTAAATATATATATATATATATATATATATATATATATATATATATATATATATATATATATATATATATATATATATATATAAAGAGAGAGAGAGAGAGAGTGAGAGAGAGAGAGAGAGAGAGAATATGTTCTTTTTACCAATCTGATAATAACAAATTCATTTAAATAATTTATTGATATTTGCATTGGTAGAAACACCACTTTAATTATAAAAGTTCAGAACAATTACTTTATTTATAGTGACGTCACTTGATTCATTTCCTTTTTTTACGTTCTTGTATACAGAGTATTGAGAAAGTATTGTAATTGTGCACAAAAATCACATGAAATTTTGACAGTTTTCACCGATTTACTTCTCAGTACTACGTCACATACTGAGTATACGGGACTAATTTTAATCGGGCAAAAATTCTAAATCCAGATTTATCAAAATTTCGGCGCTTTACGCGTAATTGAGTCGGTAAAACTAGACTTTGCTATTCTGTAAAATGGATTAAAAATAATGTCTATACCCCGAGTTGCCATCCCTTGTAGTGTTATGTAAGAATATTCGAGAAAGTTTAGTGGAGATCATTCCCGGTTTTTTTTACAACAAGCATGGCGGCTTCCGTGGAAGTTTTATGCATTATAAAGCTAAATTTATGTCGGCTATAGCTTTGAAAAAGCGTCTGTTGGCTAATTTTTTTATTAGGTTCCAACACGATTATCAATTGCTATTAAGATGCGCTGAGCAGTTCTTCCTGTTTAACTATAAAAATAAATTTATCTAGCCTTGTTCTCTTGAGATTCTAGATCTACCGTATTAAATAACGTATAGATGTACAGATATGCAGATAGTGATATAAAGATATAGGGTAGTAAAAAAAAATCCAAATACGCCCCTAGACTTTCTTACTAGGGAGGGTTGGGGGTTGTACAAGGCCCATCGGTATCAATAACACTATCAGCATTGTTGCATTGTCGGGCAAGCCGTTGAGAGAATTAGCCTATAAGTAAACTTGAACATTGACTCTTTTGTGAGATTGGCATCCGGCAACCGCAAATTTATAGCCTACGCATCGCTAAATACGCCACAAGCCTGCACCCCCTCCCCTCTCAACTAACTCTGTCATCACCTAAATTCCATCCATCCATGATTACAATTGAGCAAATAAAAAAAAAGAAGCCATGGACAGTGTTTTCACTACAAGCTACGTCAAAAATGTGTCAATTTTTTTTTCTAGTTTTAACCTTAATCACAATTTGTTGGTTGATCTAATTCATCTCTATCAATATGCCGCTACTTAAAGATTTTTGTTGGTCTGTCTCCTTGTCCTATATGCATTAATACGAAAATGATCCAATCGCTAAGAAACATTGGGAAGTCGTTTAGTATAATTCAGACAAAACCTCTACTGACTGTGAAATTTTCTACCACAACCCCCATACATGAGGAGCAGTGCCTCCCTCCTTGAAGAGAAACCAGAAAGAAACTCTGACTCCAGCAAAGTTTTCAGCCATTATTTTTTTTTTAATTTCGTTCGGAGAGCGGCCCAATGACAGTAAGGTGGTTCGGTTTGCCACACAGAGTTTTCCAGCGGCTATCAGCACCTGGGGCCAGTTAATTGGGTGTCCTGCACAAGGGGTCAGGGTTACTGCTTAATTCAACGGACAAACTGCACAGGTGCATCAGCCGGCGCCCCGGGCTTCTCCCCTGAGCACTACGGCGCATACACTTGTTTTAATGAGCGCCATGCCCTAGGGATACGGAGGGCTTCTATTATCAATGGCTAAAAAAATAAGGGGTGTTCTCCAGCCGCCTCGGCAGTAGTACGACTATAAAGTTGGCGCCCAAAGTCTCTCCATTATGATGATGTTATGAAACAAGTTGTAGATATGCCCTTTGGGTCAGTAACTTCGCCATCCAAGGTATCGAACATACAGAAGCAACTAAAATGGACTTCAAGGAACATATTAATCACTTTACAAACGTATAAGGAAAAAAAAAATCTAAATAAATCATGATCAACTTTTTAAAATGTCTAGAGGCGAAGCGACCCTTCCCGGCGCCCGGGGACAAACTTTTCGATTTGCACCCCCCCCCCCTCGAGATTTCGATTTGCACCCCCCCCCTCAAACTTTCGATTTGCACCCCCCCCCCCCCCCCTCGAGATTTTGATTTTGCACCCCCCCCCCTCAAAGTTTTAATTTGCACCCCCCTCAACCTTTCAATTTATTTTTCCAACCCATTTTGGCATCCCCTAAGCTCGGCGCCCGGGGACATATGTCCCCCCCCCGCCCCCCCCCCCCCTCGCTACGCTACTTTGTGTATTTGGTTAGTGGCGTCACAAGGTTTGATATCACCTGGTGCGTTTAGTGAGTGTCACTCCCACCCCGTCTAACAATTTTGCATTTCCAGTAGGGTGTTACACCCTCTCTTTAATATTTTATTATTTTAACTGAATAAAACATAGTTAGGACAGTAAGTTTTACGAGTTTTCGACATGGTGTTACGCCTAAATTGTGAGACCCCCGCCTCGTGAAGCTACTGTGTTATGTTACTTAAAGGTTACAGGCTTACTGTTAATTTGCTAGTTCGTTTTTTCATAAAAGTGATATAAAAAATCAAAGGCATTTTACGCTACGGGTACTACATGGTGCGCGGACCTTTGACCACAGGTGCTTTGACCATAGGGGGTTTGACCATAGGGGGTTTGACCACAGCGGAGCTTTGACCATAGGGGCTTTGACCATAGGGGGTTTGACCACAGCGGGCCTTTGACCATAGCGGTGCTTTGACCATAGGGGATTTGACCACATGTGTTTTCTCAGCAGAGGGTCTTTGATCAAAGGTGTTCTATCAACTGGTGTTTGATCACAAGCGCTGTGTCCGGCTTTGATCATAGGTGTGATACAATTAATACGATTTTATACATGTTTCCTGAGAGTACGTTAATAAAAATCAACATGTATTTAAAAAAGCCAAGAACTATATTTTAGTCTCCACATAAAGGCTGGTGCTAGACCTCATAGATTTATTTTAAATATAAATGAAACACAAATAATGCGACATATAACAAGTTTCACAAATAAATAATGTAGATGTACTTGAAAATACATAGCATATATAAAGGATAAACAATTATACGTGCTATACTCTCCAAGATTCTCCATGGTTTTGACATAGAGTTGTTTAGATGACTTGTATTTATACATGATGATTTAACATATTATTACAGCATGTCGAAATTTAAAATATAATTTAGCAACTTTTAAAATAAATCCTTACCGTATATGGACAGCATTGGACAAACCACCTGAGATCAAAGACCCTATGTGGACAAAACATCTATGATCAAACCGGGCGCAGCGCTTGTGATCAAACACCAGTTGATAGACCACCTGTGATCAAAGACCCTCTGCTGAGAAAACACCTGTGGTCAAACCCCCCTATGATCAAACCCCCTATGGTCAAAGCACCGCTATGGTCAAAGCCCCGCTGTGGTCAAACCCCCTATGGTCAAAGCCCCTATGCTCAAAGCTCCGCTGTGGTCAAAGCCCCTATGGTCAAACCCCCTATGGTCAAAGCACCTGTGGTCAAAGGTCCTAGGACCGTACTACATAGTTATACCGTATAAATACACAACTATGGACGTATAAAATACACAATTGACAGATTATCATTTTTGCATAGGGGCCCGAGAATCCTAGCTACGCCACTGCTTTTGTGTAATGCATGCTGCTGATTGATTTTAATGAAAATTACATTATTTACCCATCTGTCTTCTGATTATCTGCGAGGGTCAACACAACATGCCCAAGCCTTCCAACTGGAG